TTTTTTTTTTTCCTTATAGACCGAGGAGACTGGCAAAGAGAGAGGAAGTTCAATTATGGTGGCAACAGCAACCAACTCTGGGGTGGAGATCGGCATCACCAGTATGAACAGCACTGGTATAAGGATCACCACTATGGGGACCGGCGCTCTCATGGTGAACCCCATCGTTCTGCGAATTATCGTCCAAACAACCTGTCACGCAAGAGGCCATATGACCCATACAGCAGTGACCGAGACCATCGGGGACACAGAGATTATTATGACAGGTATTGGGGGAATCTAATTTTATGCTTAATGAGGGTGAAAAACAGGGGAGAAGTTATTTTTCTCTACTTAAAATTCATTGTGTATGAAATGAGAATGACAAAATGATTTTTATCAAGTGCATTTACTGAATTAGGAGTTCATTGTATAACTTAAAAAAGTGTTAATGTCCAGGAATCTGAGCTAGAAAGTACTTTAATAATCAGAAACCTACCATTGTGGCTAGCATGCACTTGGGATATAGAAATTGTGTAATCCCTAGTCTCTGTGTTCAAGCGAAAATAAGATCATCAAAAAAAAAAAAGGTAAAGAACAGAAGCATATTACAAATTGCAGGTAGGTGGTACTGGAAGATAGTAGATAACTAGATACAGTGGTCATCAAAGGCTGGGTGTATTAGCTAGGATGTGTCATAAACAACTTGGGACAGAAGGGTGAGATTTACAAAATTAGGGGTATGCAGGGGTGGGGAACCCACAGTTTTGTGGCCACATGTGGATTTGTGGATCCCAAAAGGATTTGTCCTGTGAAGTTTGGATTCAGTCAGAGGGCTGCAGTTGAGGACCTAGAGGGTCACATGTGACCTTGAAGCCGCAAGTTCCCCACCCCTGGTAGGTATGGCTGGTGAACTCAAGGGCGCTGAAGATTCTAAGTAACTCTTTTTGTTGTTGTTTAAGGTTTTTTAAATGCCGTTTGTTTTTATATCATAGTAATTTTCAGATAGTATGTTCCATGCTTTCCTTATAACAAAGGGAAAAAAAAGTATTTAAACAAAATTACTTGACAACCCTGACCAAAGTCTAACACTCTATTTCCATAATCCCTCAGTGCCCTAACAAAAGGCAGTTGGTGAATTGCCTCATCTCTTTTCCAGAGCAGAGAGGTGTCAGTATCATTACCCATTCCTCAGTTTTATTTGGCAGCTCTGCGGCGAAATGGGTAGAGAACTAAACTTGGAATCAGAAAGACTCGTCTTTGTGAGTTCAAATCAGGCCTCAGACACTGTCGGCCTCAGTTTCCTCATCTGTAAAATGAGCTGGGGAAGGAAATGGCAAAGCGCTCCAGTGTCTCTGCCAAAGAAATCCTCAGTGGGGTCACGAGGAGTCAGATGCGACTGAACAGCAGCTGAACGGCAGTTCCCTTTCATTGTTCTTTTCAGCGTAGTTGTAGTTCCTGTGTATATTGTTTTCCTTGTTCTGTTTACTTTTCTCTGTGTTAATTCTTATGAGTCTTATCACATTTCTTCAGTTTCTTATACCTAAGGAATTGATTCTTACAGAATAGTATGCCATTCTGTGCACATTACATATGCTGATTTTTTTAGCCATTCCTTAATTGATGTGCACTCACTTTTTTCCTCTAGTTATTTGCTATTACAAAAATATTTCAATATATTTGAGTCCCTTTTTTTTTCCCTTTTCTATCTTTGATCCCCTTAGGGGTATGTGTTTAGTAATGGGATCTCTTGGAGCAAAAGGTTTGAAAATTTTGTTAATTTCTTTTGGTTAGGCAGTGGGGTTAAGTGACTTGCCCAGGGTCACACAGCTAGTAAGTGTTATGTGTCTGAGGCCGGATTTGAACTCAGGTTCTCCCGAATCCAGGGCTAGTGCTCTATCCACTGCGCCACCTAGCTGCCCCGAAAATTTTGTTAATTTAAAAAAAATAATAATTCTCAATTGTTTCCCAGACTTGTTGGACTAATCCAAACTCTCCCAACAGTGTACTGGTTTAGGTCACTCTATTTTTAACTTTATGATAACAGCCTTACCACAAAGTCCATGCAAAGTAGGACTATTAGGCTACTGAAATGCAGGACAGTTTTTTTCTTCCTTAGGGGGAAAAAGCAAATAAATCTGTAGGTTCATATTTTGTTTAAATTCATGCAAATATGTAGTAACCAATTCTTTTGTTTTTATCATACATACAATGGGGTATAGCACAAGTTCAGCTACCTGAAAAGCAGCAGACTAAAAAGAACACTTTGCAACATTTGATCAGTAGTAGAAAATGACAGTGAAATTTGGCATGCTGGTCTCTCACCATCTGTGTCAGAGTTCTGAAACTATATTATCTAGGATTGGACTAGGTGATCTCTGAGTGCCTTCTGGCTCTGATGGTCTGCGGTTCTGTACGGACTACAAGGTTTGGTTACGGAAAGGAGAATAGAATCATAAAGTATTAGAACTGGAAAGACCTTAGGTATACCTAATCCTACTCCTTCATTTTACAGGTGGGGAAATTGTGGGCCATAGAAGTTAATTGATACATTCAAGGTTACCCAGTTAGTTAGAGATGACACTGGTCCTTTGATTCCATTAATATAGGAAGCTCCCAGATGAGGATACTCCGTGTACCTTAGAGACTTAAAGCCTGGGGTAATGGGACACTGAGTGACTTGCCCAGGACCACATGGCTATAGTTTATCTATCAAAAGCAGGATTCAAACCCAGGTCTTCCAGCTCCAAGGCAGCTCTCTCTGCCACAATCTGTCCAGCTGCCTCCTGCCCACCTTCAAATCCTATCCAGTCAGAATGAGATCAGACTGGTTTGATTTCACAGAGCTTGTTTGTGGATCTTTATACTTCTGAATTTATGAGTGCATTAGTGGTAAGGAAACTGGTCCCTATTCTGCCAATTTGTTTCAAACCAGCAGAGGCTGCACTCAAACAGTAGATTTTACAAGTTCTGAAAGGTGCTCTTTGTGCATATAGTACTTGGCCAGTATATTGCTATAGAATTGTTCTTGAATGTGATACTGAGTATAGAGGAGTGAGGGGATAGGTGAAGGAATGGTTAAGCTTGATGGTTTTTTCGTTTTGGTTTTAACATTGTTGGGTTTCAATTTTCAGACATCATCATGATTCAAAACGACGAAGATCTGATGAGTTCAGGCCTCAAAATTACCACCAGCAAGATTTCCGGAGAATGTCTGATCATCGTCCCCCTATGGGTTACCATGGCCAGGGTCCCTCAGATCATTATCGATCTTTCCACACAGACAAATCGGGAGACTACAAACAGCCACTACCCCCTCCACACCCTGCAGTCACAGACCCTCGATCACCACCATCTCAGAAATCTCCCCATGATTCAAAGTCACCTCTGGATCACAGGTCTCCCTTGGATAGGTCACTAGAACAAAAAAACAACCCAGATTATAACTGGAATGTTCGGAAAACATAAATCAAAGGTCAAAGCGGAGGAGAACAAGAGTGAGCAAGCATCTGATGATTTTTGGTCTGATCCAAAAGATAACCAGTTATCAAAATGAGTAACTGGAGACTCTGAACATGCTGCTGCTGCCACTTCACTGGCTGAAGGAGGACTTCAGGGAGTGGGGAGGACTTTAGTTCTGGTGGAGATTTGATTTTGGTTACTACCTTTACACTCCTGCTATAGTTTCCATTTTCATTCTATCCTCCCGTGCTGCCAGAAGGAAAGAGGTGTCATTTTATCTGTGGGCTTTTGTGGGGTTATTACACCCCCATTGAAGGAAGAACAAGAATTGATTGGATTTGTAACCTGTTTTGTTTTGTTTTGTTTTTTTGGTTATTGTTTTTTACAACTAGGTGCAGTATTTCCTTACTCTGATTTGGTCAGGGGAGGGAATGAACGATTGCTGCTTAGGAATTAATGAACAGTGCTTGATTTGATTCACTATTATATGATGGATGCTGCTGATGGGGGGGGGAAGTCTGATTTCATTCTGGCATGATAGTATTTGAAGGTGAGCAGGTGAGCCCTTCAAATGACTAAATGAGCTCTCAGCATGTCTTTAGAAGAAATGTAGGAGCAATAGACTTAGGTGTGGCCCACCCAGGAAGGGAGGGTAAGAGCTGAGGGTAGTGGCACTGGTGCAGCTGTCTCTATCCAGTCTACACTAATTTTCCCACATTGTCTTTGTACATTTCAAAGGTTTGGTTTTCTGTAGTCCTATTGTTTACCTCCAGAATGAGGAAAACTGGCTACTATGGCTGAACTTCAGTACTGTGACATTGGAATTAACTTGGATTTTATTTTTTGAGGGGGGAGGAGGGAGGTAAAGGAGGGAAGGACAAGGACAGAAATCTTGAATCCCTAATGAGGTGTCTGATTCACCCAGTAAAAAGGCTCATTAAACATTTGGTGCTAGCTAGCATATGATACTGGGCTGTAGATTCTGAATGGGCTTCACATTGTGTGGGGCATTTAGTAGTGCTAGCAAATGAAAGGGGCTTTCAGTATTTTAACAATTTAACATCTGTAGATTTTTATTCCTTTTACACAAATTAAAAGAGGTAGAACTCATAAAGAATCATATCTGCTGATAAACAGCTGGTCAGGTAAAAAAAGGATTAGCTGCAGTGAGTAGGCTGTCAGATGGCTGGCTTGAGGTCATTGCAGTTTGAGTTTTAGTTGCATTCAGGATAAGAGCAGACAATACCCAAGGGGATTTATAGCTAATAAAGGAGGCGTGGGGGGGGGGGGAACCAAATGAGTTTAATTGAGAAGGTTAATTGAATCAGAATAGTTCGGGGAGGGGAAGGTTGGTGTGGTGGAGGGACAAAATTGTATGCCCACCTCGGAAAGGCTGGGGCTATCATTTTTATTCATTTTAAGCCCTAGTTCATCAGTATTCTTAAATATGCTAGTGTCCAAAGTCATAACTAGATGAAGAGAGGATATTTGACTAGAATACGCAATGAAACTTGGTAATAAATTCAAGCCTACCAGGTGTAAAGAACCAGGATCAGAAGTGGTACACATAAGTATGATTATTTGGGCTCCCATTCTATTGGGATACCCCAGGAGTTTAAGTTCCTGGAAATGCCTTGTGGATCTTGTTAAGAAAATATCATCACTTATTTGCCATGCGTATGGGCAATTCTATTAAAGACACTCCCAAGAAATGCCTCTATTGTCTAATGCCACTTAAGCAGAAATGGTTTCGTGGTCCATTGCTCCGTGCTGAGCATATCATGGAAACAGCCAGTGATCCAGGTCATCGTGGGAGACGCAGAAAATTCCGAAGCTTACGCGTTTGGCTATGCAGCAGTTTTTGGTGGGCACTTTTTCTTTTTAAAAAAATTTTTTTTTTACCCCATGGTGCTTTTGGTTCTTCAGCCTGGACTTTCACAATGGAAGCATTGAAGCCAAGCACCCAAACGTGTCATATTGCACATATCAGAAATAATCCTATCAAGGATTTAGAGCAAATATAACTGAGGAAATTGGGAAATATTCTGTCCCTTTATCAGCCACAAAGTGCTGTGGAAACAAAAAACTTTACCTTTGCTAATAGTTTTGGCGCCATCCAAGTTTGTCTTATCCAAGGCAAACCAGAAAGTGTTAAGAAAGCTCCTTTTAATCTCAGCTGATAGAATGGTGGGCTGGTGAGGGATTGAGGTATATTTTTCCCTTTGGGAATTCAGATTATGGCTTTTCCTACAGCTTTCAGTAGTCTTTAATGAAGGTATGGGTGGATGGTTGGAGATACCTTTTGATATTCATCAATATTTGATTTCATCGAACTAGTTAGGCAAGGGATGTTATGCACAAAAATGTCTCATCATGAGGGAAAAAACAACTTCACATTGTTCACATTCATAAAATGTTTTTGTCAAGACTTTTAGTGCCATAAGATGTAGCAAAAGGCAATACTGGCCAGATCAGTGTTAAATTGATTGTGTAACTACAGTATCCCAAATACATTTATACACGTTTGGCATCTGAGCTATGTCTAAGAGGGGGTAAGGAGAAAGGTGTTTCCTTCTTCAAAATCAAAATCATTGTGACAAAATGGTATATTTAAAGAAAACAAAAAGAAATAATGCATGGATGGAAGTTATGTCTCTGTTTGGAGAAAAGAGGAATTGCCATGGGAACCTCAGGAGTTTTCAGGACCCCAGATTGGAGAGATGTGTTTAGAGATTTTTTTGGCAGTGATGCTACAGAGAAAGAAAGGTAACATCACACCCATTAAAAACAGTACCTGAATGTAAACAAAAACACCAATAGCTGAAATGATATAGCCTTCAGTGGTAATGTAAAACCAAAAAGTGAACTTTTAAAGCATTCAGTTAAAGTCCAAAGGGGATACAGCTGAGCACTCTGTGAGGATTGATGGCAATGTCTTTTCCTGCTTTTCCTTCCTTCTACCTTCCATAGCTACACCCTACCCTCTAGTCAGTCATTCCTTAAGCCTTTTTAATGGGAAAAGTGAAAACTTCTCACCTCTTGCTGCATTTTAAAGTTAAGTACATTCTAGCCTGATGTCTGAAAATTTTCATCAGGAAGTGTGGTGCAAACCTGATTCAGTTATGAATTTACACTTATAACCCGAAAATTCTACAGACCAAAACTTATGGTCAACAAGAATTGTTGATCCAGTGCCCAGTACATGTGGAGCTTCTGACTGAGATCTTGCTGTGATCGAGGTAGGAGATCCGTGCCAACGATCCAGACGGCTGTAGTCCATTTGCCCCCAGTAGTGTGGGGACAGACAGTTTCTCTTTCTTGTAAAATTGTGGACTTTTAAGACCTGTTAATTAAAACAGTAATTAATATTAATTTATATTTGTGAAAAAAATGCCACTGTCCTAGTGATTTCTGATGTAAATATGTTGTTTATATAGTATGTATTAAATTTTCCTACATTGTAAAACTGCTGTACTTTTGATTCTTGTATATTAAAAAGTGTTACTAAGGATTTTCAGAACTGGGCTAGCTTACGTTGTACTGTAATTTGGTGACTTCTTTATTCTATAATGGTGGCTATTTAGCCCCTACATTCACTGGCATCCAGTGAAGAACTTCTTTCTTTGTTTTTTAAGTAGAACAGTTGTTCAGCTGTTCTGATATGCTTAATTCAAGGTTCTGTTAAGAACCTTAAGAAATAGCATGGCATAGTGGGTTGAGAGCTGGCTTTGGAGTCAGAAAGATCTGGGAGTTCAGGTCCTGTCTTGGACACATACTGGCTCTATGATGAACTACAAAAAGTCACTTAACCTCTCAGTACTTTGGGTGAATCTCTAAAACTGTTAGAAAGATGGTGTTGCATTGGTGGAGGAAGTTAGATTAGCAATCTAGGAGCTTTCTGTATCGATGAAGTCAGAATCGCAAATCTAGCTCTAACTGAATCTCATAGTGCTATTTGAACTGTGTTAACACAGCATTTCAGCATTCTGAGGTTTAGAGCAGAGGTTATGGAGTCAGAACTTCCATCCATGGCTCAGGCTCTGAGCACATTTCCTGCAGCTCTTCTAATTTTACCTGACTGTGAAGTGAAGGGAGAGGAACTGAAGGCAGCATCAAAAGACCAGAGCAGCTTGAACTGAGTGGAGGCTAATGTGGCCCCTTTTCTTGGAGGGAAGCTCTTTAGCTACATGACCAGAAGTTTTTCACTCCTTTTCTTGCTCATTCGCATCCTGAAAATGCACTTTTCCAAAGCTTTTTAAATTGTGTATTCACCAGAATAAAAATGCCACTGCACTCAAAAGGGAATAAAAATGACCTGTCAGCTGAACTTCTCTGATGGCCAAGTTCATGGCCATGAGGGAGACTTAACATCTGAGTTATATGCTCTTGGGAAAAAAAAAAAATATATATATATATATATATACACATATATATATATATATATTTTATAATGGAAACACTGACACAAATGCTAACTTGGCACTGAGGACAGAACTGGCTTAGGAGAAGCAGGCCTCAGCTGGAAGGACAAGAGTTTCTGCTGCAATTTGGTATTAGAGGTGCCTTGTTTTAGTAGAAGTTGCCAAAGTTTGGATTCTAAACTTGTATTGAATGGACCTTACATTTCCCAGACCTCCAGAAAACAATTTTTGAAAGGTCCTACCTAAATTTTGACATGCCTCAGTCATAGGAAAAGGAGTACTGTGGCAGTCATTGTTGATAAATTACTGAGATTTTTGAGACTAAGGTGCTGAAATGGTGTGTTGGATTATTGCTGCTAATAAAGGACTCTTAGAATGCCCTATTGCAACTCACAACCCAGCTGGAACAGTCTTGGGAAATTTTATTTTAAGAACAAGTGCGGCAATAATCAGCTTATTATGATTTACAATAGTAATGATCCTTTCAAACTGACTACTGCCAAAGCTCCTGCCTTTTACTGGAAGGAACCCTGCCTGTGATCCTTGGCAAGGCTTCCTATGCTTGGCACCAGTCAAATCCTCATCAATTAGCACCAACATAAAGGTCATTTATTACAACTTTTGCTGTGCTAAGGACTCAGAATTCTAACCTGTGACTCTTAAAGGGACAGTATCAAAATAGAAAATTTAGACCTTAACCAATATCATATATTTATCCTTTTCTGCCTTACATTAGTGTTGGAGTACTCCCCCATCCTCCTGTGTTCTTTCTTTGGGAGAGAAATACATTCTTTTTGTATCTTCAAGGAGGAGAAAGATGCATTGTACACAATGCTATGAGATCTGTTACAATGTTCTACATATAATAGACGATCCAGAGATTAAATGCCCACCTCACTCTTCACACCACCTCACCTTTAGTGGAAGTATACATTCTATAAATGTATACAATCTAACCTAGACCACACTTACACCATTGATAATCATTTGTCTCTCTGACTTCCTATAATATCCCCAAATCGTGGTTATTTCATACCATTTTTGGAGTCTGAAGCTCTCCATCTTGCTCTTCTGCTGAGAAGAGTGAGACCATTTGATGTGAATTCTTTCAGTTGTTCTCCTTCCACTTCTTTAAAATTCTCAATGTCCACCCTCATATTCTGGTGTCAGAGAAGAGGTGGGCCTTTTTGGGCAAGGTTGTCTTCCATTTGTTTTGATTCCATCTCTGTCTATCCTATCACCTGGCTCCATTAACAATCTGCCATCTTAAGCCTCTCTCTTGTCCCCTTCTATACAAACTTGCTCAGATATCCAGTGTTCTAAAAATGCTAGAACTTTTCCTTGTTCCCATCATCCCACTTCTAGAAGCTGCCTAACCCTGTGCCATCTGTTTTTTGTTCCCTCCAGTCAACTAAAATTTCTCTCCAAGGTCATTCATATCATCACTAAATTTCATCTTCTTTTCCCTTTTCTCCCCTCCTCCCTTCCCACCATGTCCTAATATTCTTTACCCCTTCCGCAGCATATGATACTGAACCATCTTCATGTTTCTCCCACATCTCTGACTCATCTTTCTCACTCCTCTTCTACCTGCCCCTTAAACATGCCTCTCCCTCAAGAGGATCTGTCTTGGGCTTTCTTCTCTATATTGTCTCCCTTGGTCATCTCATCCTCTTTCTTGGATTCATTTAGCACTTCTGTGCTTGAATATCAAGCATGTCAAATATGTGTGTGTGTATACACCCATGTATATATATGCACATACATATATGCATATATATATTTACTCATTATTTATGTACTGCATCTTTCCAATTGCCTTCAGGATATCTCTGATTAGATATGATAGGATCATAAGAGAGATATAGAGCAGGAAGCACCATCAGAAATAATGTAATCCAGCCCTCTCCTGAATCTCACAAGTATGGGTATCATCTCAAGCTCAGTCCTCACCACTCTTCTATACTCCTTCCCCTTGGTGATCTCATCTGGTCCTATGAGTTCAGTGCAGATCCCTATGTATGCCCCAGATCCTATTTCACATACTTACAATGTAATGGGGGTGGGGGAGGATGGGGTATAGTGAAGACTTGTGAGTGAAAATGTAGATTCAAGGGAGAGGCTCCCACAATGGGGTATTAAGAACCTGAGCAGAGATCACTTTCACCCCAGGGGATGGAAATATAAGGAGGGCTATCAGGGAGGGCTTTCTGGAGGAGGCACCTGAGTTGGGCCCTGAAGGAAGGGAGGAACTTTAGTGGTCAGATGGGGGAAGGGGAATCCATTCCAGACACAGAGAACATCTTGAACAAAGGCAGAGAGATAGGAGATACTGGGGAAGAGACTAGGGAGTGGACAGTAATCTATTTTAGCTGGAATGTAAGATACATGAATAGAAGTGACATGAGATAAATTTGGAGCCAGAGGGTACTTGGCAGACAATGAGAAGTAAATCACCAAGGTTCCTTCAAGTCAACTCAATTCAAGAATTTACGTGCCTACTACATACAAGGAACTATGCTAGATGCTAAGGACACAAAGTTGAAAAGCAGCCTGTGACCTCAAGGAGATTACATTCCACTGGGAGTTAGAATGTGTAAACGGTCAAATGCATACCAGAAAATGTAAAGGTAGGAAGAGGATCAGGGAAGGAGGGAGCTAGGTTATTATGAACTTCAAATGCTAGAGGAGCTTGTGTCTTGTCCTGGACAAAATAATGAGCTGCCAAAGATTCTTGAACGTCATTCAAATAACAATGTTAACACTGGAAGGGGAAATAGCTCATTTTCGGGTTGTGGTTCACAAGGGTCATAGGTCGAGTGCTGAGAGGGACCTTAATGGTTATCTGGTCCAATATCCTCATTTTATAGACAGGAAATTGAAGCCCAGAGAGGTGAAGTAATTTGCCCAACACCAGATGTTAATAAGAAGTGGAATGTAGGAACAGGAAAGGCAGAAAGGAACTTCACACTTCTGCTAACGTCTTACAGGCCAACATACAACCCTTGGTCCATTGATTCCAAATCCAGCAGTTTTTTCAGTCACATGATGGACTACCATAGAAGTATACATTAGCTCAAGTAGTGAGTGACCCTAAAGTGGAGAGGATGAACTAACTATAGGCAGCCTGTGGCACAGGCGAACCCAAGTAATTTTGAGTAGACAAGATGATTGACAAAGTACTTACCTTACCAAAAAAAAAAATAAAAACCCAAAAAACCTGGTGAGTTCGTGCCTGGCCCTAAGCAAAATGGTGAGACTGGTATCTTTGGCCACCCTTCCAACCCCTACCAGGATTCTTTCCTTCTTCCTGGAAATGACACTCATTCTCTACCTTTCCCCTTCCCTTCCCTTACCCCTCCCTAATGGCATTTGTATCCTATTCTTATTTTTATCTGGTTAACAACTAATCAGTTTCCAAATCTGTAAATTGAGAAAGCTGAAAGATCTGTATTCACAGTCAAACATAACAAGGGCTTACTAATGCCATGCTGTGTGTTAAACTTGTTATACAAAAAAAAGGCAAAAATGTCACCTCTGCCTTCAAGAAGCTCACATTCTAAAGGGGAGGACATGTAAATAAATATATAAATACCTACAGAGTGGATAGAAAGTAATCTCTGAAAGAAGGCACCAACAGGAATGATGGGTGGGGAGACTGGAAAAGGTCTCTTGCAAAGGGGATTTGAGCTGAATCTTGAAGAAAGCCAGAAAAATTAAGTGTCTGAATTAAGTGTCTGAAGTGAGTTGGAAAAGCCTTCCAAAGCATGAGACAGTCAGCCAATGCAAAGGCCCTGAGTATGGGAGACCAGCCAAGATGAGCACCCCTCCCTCTTCAGAACTACTTTGCAAAGATCTAGAAATCAGACTAGATTAGGTCCTGATCAGAAAATGCAAGGAAAATTTCAATGAGTCATTTTTCCTAACCCAGGTCAACAGAGGGAGACAGAGGTCTGTGTCCAGGGAACAAGATACTACAGGAGAGGAGTACTACACAGAGCCTTCTGTCACTGTTACTAAAACAGGTGCTGGACCCAACAAAGAG